ATTGGTATAATTTTTTACCTGGAAAATTTTTAAATTTTGTGTTCGTTTGCATCAAAATTGTCTATCAAAGTGATAATTTTTTTCACACTTGGTTATAAAATTTGTTTCCATTGCCAAAAAGTAAAAAAAAAAAAAATGTTTCCTAAAAAATCTTTTTTATTTCCCACCTAAAAGGTGGGAATACCTTTTCCTTTCATGCCATGAATTAGGCGCGTGAGTGGAAAATTAAAGTGCTAAATTCCAGGGCAAAAGATGGCCATCAAACAAGACATTTGCAAGGAAAAGGAAAAGAATTTCCATTTTCCATGGAAAAGGGGTGTGTTTGAGGTGTTATCAAACACACCCTTAGCATTTTTATTTTACTCATCAAATTTGTATGGGCTGGTTTTTCTATTGCTTGGCATGATACTGCTATTGCTTTCCTTGTGTGTGTGAAATGTTCACTATATGTATATTTTTGCACAGATTAGCATTCTTGTGTTATTGAGTCGACCTCAGCGGATCCACCTGATTCCTCAAGCAGAAGGCATGAGCGGCATGTACAGAGGAGGAGATAGAGCAGAAACACTCACTTTGCTTGATAAGCAAATGAAAATTCTCAAGGAGGAGATGCACGTGGTCGAGGCTTTACTTGAGAAAATGCAGCATGAGCATACTCTATTGAAAAGAAAATTGAAAGACTTGGAGATCTTAAGAAACAGACAGTAATGACAGAAAAAATTGTACATCAGCGAATGTATATGAATACCTTGCTTTTCTTCTCTTTGGGCTTGCTCTTTCATGTATTAGTCCATGTGCAGATCTGAATATACATTTTTACAAAAAAGAAACTCCGTGCTGATTGGGCAAACAAATGGGGTACTTGTTTTAACACAAAAGTGCATAGAGATATAAAAGTAGCTTTTAAGCTCAGCCAAACATGGATTGAATTGTATTTGGATGGAAATTGTTATAAGAAAAACCATCTCCATTGCAATGGAACGTTGTCCTGTCAGATTAACCTTTTTTATTCTGGAATGTTACTAGATACAATAATGTTATTATATCAAATGATGGCAAAAAGGATAGTCATAAGGGTTAAATTTAAAATATAGAATATTTTAAGAATAGTGGAAGTAGTAGTCATTAGATCTCTTTTCTTGATTTTGTTTACTTAATGAAAAAAAATGAAATATGTAAATTATGACAACTTGGGAAGGCACTAGGCAGTAAGCTTCTTCATAGCCTGTTTTTTTTTTTTTAAAGAAAAACAAAAAAAAAAAAAAATAAAAATTGTTTTGGAACTAATTAGTTGCATTATTTAAAAAAAAAAAAAAAACACCGCACGGTCTTAGGCTTCCCTGGTTGGGAGGGATTTTGCTTATACATAGCATTCATCCTTTAATTCTTCTGAAGTAAGCTAAAGCTTCCCTTGTTAGGTCTTGAAACGAAAGAAGAAATAGCGTGGAAAAAAAGTTTTGGCCTTGCACTCAAGATTTCGTAGTTAAACCATTTGTATCGTGCATAGTTGAATGATTGACCGACTGAAGAATGGTAAACTTCCTCGTTTACTTATGTGGGCGGATACTCATTTTGCATTTGATGCAACTACGATGCTTGAGATTATAGTGATCCGTCTCAAAAGCAAGATGGGATGTGAAAGATCACGCATAAGAATCAAGATAGATGATCTTCTCTTCATTGTTAGGATTTTCTGTTAAATTATCACATCTATCAGCCTATCATGTCCCAAATTCGAAGGCTTCGACGGTGATCAAGGTATTCATCCATCCGTAGGATTAGTCTTCCCATTTTTGTATTAGAAATCATTTTCACAAAAATAGGCATTTTAGGCCCTTTGAATCCATCATAGCACATGTTGAAAAACCAAACATAACTCTATTACCATGGTCGGTCATGTTGAAGTTAATTGTAGATCACACAATATTTTAAATTGATATGCGACTAAGGATGTACATAGTTCAATTTGATTTTTTTTTTTTAGCCCATGTTTGATTTTGTTAAAAATTAAATTTTAGTAAATTTTGAATTGACTAAATATACAGTTAAAAATGAATTTGAGAAAAAATAAATTTAAAAAAATGGATCAAACAGGGGCATAACAGTATGCACCGTCCTATATCAGCCAACCTTGTTAACAAAAATAGACCACTTTTTTCTACTGGGAAATGATTACAAAATTAAAAAAAAGTGGATATTTAGAAATCAATGATAAGAACAAAGTACATCTGGTGGACCCAATCAAATTATCCATTATTCTTTGTATCATAACCGATTCTTGTTGCCAATTTTGCATATGTTATATGCCATAAGTACAGTGTGCAAAAGTAAATTATATTGTGAGATTGATGTTAAAATTCAAGATAACATGTTTGGTTTCAACTTCCAATTCTTCTAGCTACAAAGCTACATTGTAATGAGTAGAGGTGAACGCGGTTCATTTGACAGTATTTGAACTGTTTTCTCAAATTAAACCATTTTTCGCTGTTCAATTTGATTTTTAAACATTTTTTTCATAAAAAAAGTGAAAAAAAAAAACAAATATATTGGTATAAAATTTCAAATTTAAATTTAAATTTTCTAAACACAAATGTTAACAATATAAATATACAGGGCCGGCCCTGGCCCAAGGCTACTGAGGCAGTGGCCTTGGGCCACAAATTTTCAGGGGCCTCACAAAAAAAAAAAAACAACCAATACACTCCATTGGGCCGAAAATATTAAGTGGCCCTAACAAAAAAGCCCCAGCCCAAAAGGCCAAATAAAAACCCTCAAACCATCATCTTCATGCTTCAAAACTTCAACTCTCACCTCTCGATCTCTTGTGACTCTTCAGTTCCTGTTCATTCAATCATTCTTCTCACCATTTCCTCTTCACTCTTTAAAAGAGTCTCTTCACTCTCTCTTCAATTTTTTTTTAAGCATGAATTTCCCAGTACAAAACCCAGAAGAACAACCCGGCATCCAACTTGGAAAATCAAAGCCCGTCCCTTCCCTTGGAAAATCAAAATCCATTCTATTCAAAATCGATCGAGCAAATGATAGGAGTTGGGAAAATGAAGCTGTACACTAATGTTCTCGATCGACCCCTCAGCAAAGGCAAACAGATGTTAGTCTGAGTGGGTTTGCGTTCTTGTTCTCGGAGCTCGTTTGGTATAATCAGACTCAGGTAGACAACATAGCAGAATTGGAAAGAAGGTTAGAGGATGCAGGCTATGTTGTTGGGACCCAGATTCTGGAACTTCTTTGTCATAGGGAGAAGGGTAACATTATAACATAAGGGAGACACGACTTTTGGGAATTTTGTCATTTGTGCATAGCACAGTATGGAAGGTCTTGTTTGGAAAGGTAGCAGACTCACTTGAAAGAACTCCTAGTCAACAGATTTATTTCAATACCTAAAGATATGGGTGCGTTCAACTGCGGAGCATTTGTTGCTGGAATAGTGAGGGGATGCAGGTTTTCCAGTTGTGGTAAGTGCTAAAGTGCACATTTTGTATCT